ATTACATTAACAAGAATATCAAAATCAAATTTAGCTTAGAAAATGTGATGTGGCTGAGCATTTTACAATCACTACACTTTATCTTTTTCTCTATTATGTTAGGGATTATTCTCCAAAATTTTTAAATCATCCAATATATAAAAAAAATATATTCTTAATTTCAATTTCTTTTTAATATAGAATCCTTTCAAGACTTTTGTATCATTTAACTCTGATATAATCTAATTTATATCCTTAAAATTTACCAATTTTCGAAAAATTTACTAAAATATATTGGGCCAAATGAATCAGTTTGAGGATGAAATCAAAAATCATTCAAATGATAAAGGCTCACAAGTATACTAGCTATTTGCAGGGAAAAAATATTGTCTGAAATTAAAATTGCTCAATTTAAAAGTAGGATAGGAAGAATATTAAGAAATAAGTAAAGGGAATATTTTTGGTGATTAATAAAAAATTACAAGATTAAGCAAATTTATAATTAACATCCCAGCAATAAAATTTTTAATTAAGTTGGTGCATCCACGAACTTCATTATAGTGAGGAATTAATTTAAAAAACGTAAATATCTTACAATTGAAAATTAGTTCTGATTGGTTCAGCAACTTATTGATTTCACCTTATTATATGCAATAGAGAATAAAAGTCGAAAAGAATATTTTCATATTATCAATTATGACTATTTAAATTCCATTTATCTAATTAAGAATATAAAATATAATGGAATTGAAAAATAATTGATAAGAAATTATTTTTTGCAACTTTAATTATTTAATGCAAGCTATCATAAAATAATAATTCACAACTCATAATTATTTGAATTCTCAATTTAGGAATTATCAAATGATCTTACTGAATTATAATCTCCTTCTAAACTTTGTAAATAGTCATGTGCTTCCTGAAACTCGCAATCTTCCAGACCTTCACCATTATACCACTAATGAAAAGCTCTTTTTTGGCGAATTTTACAAAAGCTCTCTCTTAATTATTTAAATCTACTAGCAATTGAGGCATCATTAGAAAAATAGGATCCAGTTAGCTTCATCTATGCAAATTCAGGCAATACTTAATAATTAGATGCTGCACATTAAAAAATATTTGAACTTTAGCCAAAGAAATGATCTAAATTGTTTAGAGTTAAATCATATTAACCAAAAGAAGGGTTCAATTATTTTTATCTAAATAGTAATGCTGAAGTTATAAGATAAGGATTAATAGGACATTGATAAAGTTAACACTTCTTTTTAGTTAGATATTGAATAAATTATGTTTCCTATAATTCTGTTCTAGCGTAATCATTTATTAAAGTCATTTTGCCATACGATGGAATTAAATACTTCACTCTAGGATAAGGACACAAATTTGACAAAAACTTGGAGTTATCACAATTGTTAAATCTTCTTAATCCAGTATATGAACTAATTACTTGAGCCACCAAGTTATTTAAATGTTAATAATCAACAAAATCTAATTCTAATTGATAATCAATAACATTGTACATTGACTAATTGTCAAACATTGTTACGCTCTACAAATCGTCAATCATAGTATAAAGCGAGAACACAGCATTATAAGGTCCAACGACATTATTCGACATCTCTGAAGATGGGAAAATTATAAATCCATTTTATTTTGATTTATTTTCAAATTTCTAATCTAAGACTTATGACAAAAATGAAAGGCATCCAGAACCAGTACCTCCACTTATTGAACATGTAATCACAAATTCATCTAATCGACTCATCGTTTCTATTTATTTTCGAATGCAATCTATTGCCTATTCTGTAACTTCTCTTCCAACAGTATACTTACCTCGAGCATAGGTTAATGCCTCCTCTTTTCCATGTAAAAATGAATGCTTCTTATATTTTATTGACTTATTCCTTTAGACTTCATGTATCATTCCGTCATCTGTATCGAAGAAAAGTGCTAACGGATAGTGATTCCCATCAACTTCTTCATAAATGTAATTATTCTAAGTTGCTTCATTGTATTCTTTTTCATAAAGTTTCCATAACATATCACCAATCCTTACTCCAGCCCCTCCGATATGAATATGAAATGCAGAAGACATCCAAAGTTATTTATTAAAATAGTAAATTATTTTCTAAACATTAATAAAATTCAAATGGGGAGTGCAGCATGAACTGGTAGTTTTCTATTTTTAATGAAACTTTAAAACTAAAATATATAGAACAATTTATAGAGGGCATAAAAATCTTTCTTTAAACAGATTTAATTTTTATGGTATTATTGAAAAATATAATAGAATTTATTTCTCAAAATCAATAATTTAAATAATTCTACATAGAAAAAATAACCTAATGAATAGTTAGTTTTATTTATGTCTGCTACCAAAATTGCGCAATAAGAAAAGATTGTTTAATAAAATTAAATTCCTTGCTTCACTCGTTCAAGCCTAATTTAAAATCATTTATACTTCATGTGCCTTAGCTGATTTGATACTTTTTAGATGGTAAGAAATGTAATCAATTGTTTTAAGTCTGCATGCGATTCTCTTAAGAATTGGTGTAAAGGAGGTATTAGAATTGGTACAATATGCATTTTATATTCTTCTGGAATGTAAAAGATTGACATTAGTTCAATATTAACCTTGTCCGACTTTTCATTAAACCAAGGCATTTGCAAAGCTTTTTATCTTTGGTATCTTCAAGAATAACAATTATCAATATTAAAGTGCTAAACTTTTTTTGCCTTTCCTGTTCTGCTTCAGCTACTGAATTTACCATTTCCTCTTCAAAGCCTATTAAAAAGTTTAAAACACAGGAGGAGATAGATGAAAAATGCTAAATATATTACAGTTTACATTCTAATTTAAAAAGACCAAAAAGTAAGATTTTTCATTTACCCAATAGAATCTTTGATTAAAAGTAGGCTTTGAATAATAGCGGGATTTAAAATAAATTTTGCAAATGGTATAGACATGAAACAACCATCAATTATTTTGAATAGACCTGACGCAAGCTTTACAATTATAAGCAGCCACCATGCATTTGATGTCAGTAAGTCGAAAACCATGTGCTGATGAATAGACTGGAGATGTGGTAAATCTGTTTTTTACTAAATTCTAGACTTGTGATTACGCTTGAATCAAATTTCTATAATCCTGTCTGCTAAACTGAGAATATTGGTTACTAAATATTTATTATGCCAGCTTAGCATGTCTAATCTTTGTCCTTTGTTTAGCCTTCTATCACTTCAAAGTATGTGGGAATAACGTAGTTACTTTCTGTATCTATTGATTGCTACAAAAAATATCGCTCAAATTAACTTAGGGCAAAGATAGCCTTTATTCCCAATTTCTTTATTGCAGATCAATTAATCAGCACATTATTTGATTTTTTCAATAAATGCATATTCATTTATGAAGGCATAAGTTTGAGCTGCAAAGATGGGATTCCATATCAGATGATTTAATGGATGGTCTTGTCTGTTGTCACTAGTATTAGATTTTGTAACATTATAGTTCAGTCCAGCTTTCTGTTAATAATTATGTAACAATCATATTTACAGTTCAGAAAGTCTTGCGGTTTATCATTAGTAACCTTCTTTGAAATGTTCTCTCCTTAATGCACTCACAATTAAAGCACAAATTTCTTTGAAATTTCTGTTCTCTTAATTATTTATTTAAGTACTAATCTTTGATAATGAAAAAATCAATTTGTGACATGCTCGATTGAAGTATATCAGTGAAATGGATAATTTATCAGGCTTCTATACTATAATTCTAATTTTAAGGTATATATATTTTATAGAAATGATTACAGAAAGTTCATTCAGTCGTGATCCATTTTATAAGTGATG